CCAGTTTTCAATAAGGTACAAACTAAAGCTTTACAAGAAGCAATGTATCATAGTGCTGAAAGCAATCACTTAGGTAAGTTGGATTTAAAAATGACCAACTTAGAAAAATATTCTTAAACATACTTTGTTTGCAAAGTTTTATTCAAATATGAATTTTATAGATATCACGATGGAACTTCGTGGATTAAAAGTGAGTTGGACATTACATTGCTGGATGCATAGTCTTGCAACAGCTCACGAAATGAGATTGGACTCAATAATAGATCAATTGCTTCAAGATTTCCTACAAGTGTGTCCAGATGATTATTCAACACAATTTGTACAAGAATGTCTTCCTTTGTTATTCAATATTTTTAGGTACAGTAAGGTAAGGTGTTATACTCAAACTTGCTTTTAATTATTTAAAAATAAATAAGTAAAAATACTTTTTACACCTTTTGGATTGTATTTTAATTATAGAAAGAAGGCACAACGCTTCTTCTTGCGGATATTTTTTGTACATGCTTTGGATGGGAACCAATAAAACCTATTCGAGATACAACACTTTCTAGTGGATCCAGAATAGATCCCAAATTTGTAAATAATCCAGAATTAAGCGATGTACAATTCAGAGTAGAAGGCAGAGTTTTCTATGGTCATAAGATTGTTTTAGTCACATCGTCTCCGAGATTTAGGAATATGTTAAGTTCAAAATTATGCGAGGGAAATCCTCCTATTGTACAAATCAACGATATTCGGTATCATATCTTCCAGGTATATAATATTAAAAGAAAAATTGAATAATCCTAAGATTTTTACTTAAAACTTAAACCGTATTTTAATATGCAGATGGTTATGGAGTTTCTATATCACGGTGGTTGTGCTACATTAGAAGTTAATCAAAGTGACGTCTTGGAATTAATGGCTGCCGCGAATTTTTTCCAATTAGATGGTTTACTTAGGTATTGTGAGGCACAATGTTCTTCCATGGTTGATCTTGATAATATTGTTTCTATGTACATTCATGCAAAGGTATTTCATTTAGATATCATATATATGTATTGCAGACCTTTCTGATAAGAAATACAAAGTACATAATGATTTATCAATTAATAATTTTCAGGTTTATAACGCCACGCAACTTTTAGAATACTGTCAAGGATTTTTGCTACAAAATATGGTTGCTTTATTAACTTACGATGACTCAGTTAAACGTTTATTATTTGCCAAGAAATTGCCTAATCATGACGTTCTCGCAGGCCTTCTTCTCACTTTACAAGCGAGAATAAAAGCTAGACGATCTCAACAACAAAATAAGATAAAAGCTTAAAAATTTAATATCACCAAGTATGATGTTCATACTAGCATTATCCTTATTTTATTTTTGTTTTCGTCAATTGTAATTATTGACATATTCACGTTTATTTAAATAGCATCGGTTATCAAAAATATGATGACACGTAAATAAATTAAGACTGAATGTTTCATGATTTGACTTTAACTCTTTTCTATCAGATATTTAAATATAAATTTTCACTAATTCGTATCAGGGTTAAAAATCATTTTTACATTCTGTTCCAGGTAGAACATTAGTAGAAGAAATACATATACTTCTGCTATGCATCTATTTTATTTTTGTTGTATAGTGTTCCTTGTTTAAGTATTTTTTTGTAAATTACGTACTATAAATGTATATTAGGTACTTTTCGAACGATATAAATTACGCTGTTATAAATAAATCTCATAAGTATATAGTAATTAAGAATTTAGTTTTTAGAACTTAATTTGTTTAAAAGAAATTTTTAAATAATCATGTAAATATAAAATTAATTATCATAAAATATAGAGTATAGTGTATGTTATGACATAAGTTCTTAGTGATTTAAACATTATATATATATATAAAATGAAATATATGTTTTGTATATATAAAGCAGGCTGAACAATATAAGCGCGACAAAGAAACGGTAGTGTGAAATATTAAAATGTTATTTCATGTATTGATAATACAACATATTTTGTACATCTCAATTGCAATAAATTATAAATATTGTGATAATGAAAATATTAAACAATTATTTCAGTTCTTAGAGCTTAATAAAATTGTTTATATTTTTTTATCACATTTTTGTTTACACATAATTGCTAAACATTATGATTTCTATCACAATGATACTTGCAGGAAATTACTAGAAAATATAAAACATCGAGACAGAAACTGATGCAAAGTAAAACTATACACAGTATTCAATACCTGTTAAAGATTTTTTAATAATATATTACTCTCATTTTACTATCTATGTTCCAATAAATAAAAATTTTTGTTTTTTTAATAAAATGTTACAAATAACGCAATACATTTCTAAATGAAAAAGAGGGGTGGAATTTAATTTGATTTCTTAATAATAACGATGCATCGTAAAATTCGTTATTGTAACAAAACTGTTGTCATTTGTATACATGTTAACAATGTAATAATGTTAGTATTATATATAATGCAATTTATTTTAAATGTCAGTGGTTAGTTGTATATACAATATTCAAGATATAATCTTAATAATGTAATCACTGGACTTTTAGATTTTGGAATGCCTAGTAATCATATAAGAGTCAAATGGATCCACTGAAAATGGTTGTCTCAATCTTACGATAATTTGTGTTATATACCTTTTACACTATTAATGTTGCAAGCTTCAGTGGGAGTACACACAATCCGTAATAAACAATATTATAATTCTATTAAAAAATGATTATAAAAAGTATTATATTCACAATTTATACAATTTAATTATGTTTAGATCAAGAATGTGATATTCTTTTTATCATTTCTTCTATATCCATTTAAGTTTTTATTCTAATAAATTATTATGTAGTTGATAAAAGCTTCAGTAACATACAGTTTCGTGTAAAAAAATGTAAAGTAGAAAACAGTCGCAAAAAATTTATCAGTAGGCATTTCCTATATAACATGAAACAAATCGCAAAATACGATATGTACTTTTTAGTATTTTCTTAGTACCTGTATTTGTATGTAAAAAGAAAAAAAATCGAGCACATAAAAAGATATAAATTATTGTTTTTTTTAACATCTCTTTGAATTATCTGATTTGTAAAACCAAAAGTGCTGTATATGTATCTAAATATGTATATTAGTATTAATTTATATACAACTTCAGACATATAAGAAAAAAGGAAAAACGATAAATAACAATATTCACGTATAACCATATTTCATTTTCAGCTTGCACAAATTTTTATGTCTAAAATAAAATAGGGGAACGACTTAGTATGTAATATTATTTTATAACATTAACATTTCTGTTTTATTTTTTAATAATAGGAAATTAATTTTTTGTTTCAAAGTAATAACATGTAAACAACAAATTAGTAAAAAAGTATCTAATCTGCAGGATATAATTTCAACTCATCACTTTTCATTACACTTGATTAATTAATAAAAATTGAACAAAAAAAAAGAATTGTCAGTAATGAAAAACATGTAATAATAAATTGCGAGTTCAATCGAAAAACAGATTATAGAGTAGTAATTATTCATAGGTCACAATTATAAAAAAATTCGAAAAAAATACAGTTTATTTATATATTGTCTATACTAATCTTTTAACACGGATGAATTTAGTGCCACATTATTTATTTTATATATTTCTAAAATAAATTCATATTACTTTATGATCACTTCATGCATTTATTCGTAATTTTTTAACACCAATATAGTGAGATAATAAGTGAAGTATTTTTTTTAATAAATTTTCTATGATAAATAAATTAATTAATAATTTTACTATTTATAGTAAGTAATTGTTTAATAATGATAAATATCAAACTATCATAGAGTATAGTATAATCGATCAGTAGAATACATAACTTTAATATGAAATTTTAACAAAGATACGTTGCTATAAAATTTGAAGCTATAATATAACGTTAACACTTTGCTTAAACACTTGTTGTTTTTATAATGCTGTACAATTTATTGAAAAAATAACATATAATATAATTAAATGATTTATCAATTTTTTTGTTAAATAATAGCTTAAAAGTAAAACAAAAGTTATAACGACTGCTTTGCATTATTATTATATTCAAATTTATGCTAATCCTCTCACAAAATGAAAGAAAAATTTGTTTCTTCCATTATTAGAAGCCTGCTGTATACTATAATGCAGATATTTGATAGCTTTGTTACACATTGCTTCAATTTGAACTATTTTATTCAAATTTCTTTAAAATAAAAATAAGAAACAAAGGTGCAGTGAGAACAGTGTAATGTGTTTTACAAATTCGAACGTAAACAAGCATAATACGCTTGAATTATGTTAATCAATTTATAAATGAATATAAAATAAGTCTATCCTCTCCCCATATTGCATGTCTGATATATAAACTGGCAATTTATATTTTTCCACAATATTAGTTCTATGATCAGTAAGATAGATTGAGACAACCTTTTTCATATGCTCACAGTATCTACGATTATTAGGAGCGCTAACTTAATTTAGTGACTAGAACAATAATTAATATAACAACGACTATGATTGCGAGTAACAATAAGATAAAAACTTTTCGTCGATATTTACTTTGGTAATTATTTCCCTTGATTAAATCTTGTGCTCCCAACTCAACATTTCCGTGTACATTTTCTATACTGTTGTCTATTGTATCTGTAACCGAAAAGAATTATAAGAAATTTCAAAAACGAAATATGTTTATAGAAATAAAATAGAATCGCTTACTAATCGTCTCTCCTTGCTGATGTACGAGTATTGCCAACTGACGCATAATTTGGTTTACATCCAAAATTTCACCTTCGATTTTCATTATCCTCTCTTCTCTGTCTGATAGTAAGCCTTTTTCTTGTTCAAGATTCCTAGGCATATCAAGAGAAAAACAATTACGACTAAACTATTTTTTTATAATTATATGGTAAAATTAATAACATCATTTTATGAGCATGTATTAATATGCATTAATACAAAGAAACAAACTTACCATCTAATCAAGTACATTTTCTAATGTTTCTATATTAATAATAGATGTTGCAATTAAATAAGCTTTTCAGTGAAATATTACATTCAAGGTATTTTGATATTTGTATTATAAAATCCCCAAATTGTGTTTTTTTTTTAAATAAAAATCATGAAAAAAACCTATTTAAATTTTGATTTTTTAATAAGGTTAATAATGTTTGCCATCTGTAAACTCATTGCTTGTATGCAAACTGTAAGATACAGTCAAACTTTTTTCACTATCGGCACGTGTAATATAGATATGTATATTTATAAAAAATAATAAATAGTTTACTTTCAAACCTTTGTATTTGTCTGTATTCATCTTCTTGAGCTTGAAGTGAACGTTGATGTTCTTCTTCATCAGGATTTTCTATACTAGTTGTAAGCAAAATATGTCTCTTCATTTTTTCTGCAATTGACTAAAAATATCATAATAAAACAATTATATATAAAAAAAATTATATAACAAAAAATTGACTGAAACACGATCAATAAAGTATCTTGTACCTTCTGCATATCTGAATATCTTTGCAAAGCATCTTTAAAATCAGTGGTGAGTTTCTCAATTTGTAACTTCAGTTTTTTATCACCTCGCCTCATTAGCACTGTCAGTCTTGCAATGTCTTTGCTTGTTTGTGTTACTACTTGATTTGTGCTTAATTGTGTAACATGCCTTATAAAAAATAAATACACATAAAATACAAATATAATGTGAACTAAATGCAAAATAAAACAAATGTAACACAAGAAACAAGTAATTTATGATTATATAGAATTCATTAAAATAAATAAAAAATGTACTATTACTTTGAATTCAGAAATTAATCTACAAATTATTTGCATATCAATGAAAAATATAAAATAACTATAAAATAATCTAATATAAATCAGAAACTTTTAAATACTCATAATTCTTTTTTGTATAGATGTTATATTTGCATTGAAATAAAAAGTAGAAAAATAAAAAAATAAAACATCTTTCGTAAAAAAGTTAGGTTTGATTTGAAATAAATGTACATCTTCATTATAATTATATTAACAAAAACACCATTTGTTCATATTAATGAGTAATATATATTCTTAAATTATTTGACCTTCATTTCAGATTGCCTTCCATATTGTAATACATTATTCCAATTACTTACACCTCATCTCTTAGACCCTGATTATCTTTATTGGTTCCAATATTTTTATATGCACGTTCAAGTGTCCTCCAACTTGTATTAATTGTATATATGTTAGTGGTAATATTTTCACTGAGACTATAAAGTTCAGTAGGACTAAATCCTACATCAGGTACATCTGTCCGTTGATCCATGGACCCATATGTTTGAGAACTGTGAGCCATTCTAAAAATAAATATATGTTTCATTATAACCTTTTTTATTTATGAAAAACTAGATTTAAAAAATTTAATAATAATAAAGAAATACATTTAAGGTATGATCCAATAACTTTTTTACGTGTAGTTATATATTTCCACATTTAAATATATAAAGAAATCATAAAACCTTTATGGTACATTTATGAGTAATATTGATATATTATATTATCACATATATGAATCATTAAGCCTTAATAACATGTGAAATTGTATTAAAATTTGTATCTATTATAATTCATTTAAATTAATGCTATTTATACTTTTATATTTTCTGTCAACAATAATATTGATAATAAATGAAAAATTTACTTTACAAAATTTAACATTATTATTAAATAGATATTTTATACCGTTAAAAATGGTATGTCAATGAAAGGTAATATTGTACGATGTTATACAAATGGTATACTAAATCAAAACTTTTATCAATATATTAAGCCATTATCGTGTTCGTATATGTAGCTGTATAGTATTTGGGATCTAATGGTATATGATGAATACATATACGAAAGAGTTAAATTAATGCGAGATAAAAATGTATAAATGAATATAAACATCAAGAACTACATAACAAACCTGAAATATTTTATCACAAATGTTCTTAATATCTAAATATAAATTGTTTTATTAATTCACATTTAAAAATTAAGAGAACTATTTTTATGTATCGAATCTTAGAAACTGACAGTTGCCTAAATGATCTAATCCACCGCCCATGTGGCAATAGTCTCTTTGTATTCACAACCGTGTATTTCATAAATTCCTACATTATCGACATTACATATTTTTTAAGTTCTGATTCAATATTTGGAAATAAGTTTTTTGATTAACGTATAATAAAGATATAATTATTTTCTGCTAATAAATGATTAATAGCACAATGTATATTATACGCATTTCAATCTACATTGTAATATAAGAGCAATTAAATATAGTCTAACGTGTCTATAGCACCGTCGATACTACTATATCCAAAATAATATCCGGTAGACATTATTACATTTGAATATAGTATTAAAAAATGGATTGTAATCTTTTAAATAGATATTTTAATTTTTTACAAAAAATTTGTGATTAAATTAAACTAATAAGGAGACTAAGTAATGATGTAAAATTATTTTTTATCAACTCATAGAAATGTGTCTGAAATGCCGTCTTATATATTACTACCACTAGAATCAAAAATAAAACTAACAATACATTTATTTTATACCTTCTCATACATTTACAGCAGTAAAAGTAAGAAAAATTAATAATAAATTTTTCTATTGAACAGTTGAAATCATTAATAAGCTACCTTCCTGTGGAACCAGAGGTTAGTCGTATGGCGGATACTGGCTTGACAAGACGTACGGTACGGAAGTTCCCGAGTGCGACCGACAGATTGCGAAAGCCTTCAGAAACAACAACCGTCGGCCGTAAGTAAACGCTATTGTGATTTCTCATCATTTTACTTGCTAAAATCATACATTTTCCGTTGTGTAGTTGCCACTATAATGAATTTAACGCTAGATTACCACGATCCATGTATTTTCTTTACAAAAAATTCCTTTGAATATTCTAAAATTTGATAGAATTTTCTGGAGGGTTGCTTTGGAGTCAATACAGCTCGTACATAGGTCGTGCGTCATGTTGGTTCTGAACGCATCTTCCATTTGTCGACTCCTTATCATATTTTATCAATTTTCCTTGACCATAATTACAATCTTTTCGTCCAATCAACTTGTTTTCATCTAAATAGCATAGAAAATTAAAAATACACAAATGGTAATCAAGTGTTGTTTGCGTGCACCTACGCAACTCCCACTTTTGACATTTTAATCGGAGTGACTTTTAATGTAGGTTGATTTTATAGCTGTTCGCATGTTTCTTTTACGCTTTATATATTTTAAATTACAATTTGAAACACTTTTTTTAAACTAATGCATGAATATAAAATTCTTAACGTTTATGGTTATTCGCCCCTCCTGCCCCCACCCTCTCTTGTGTCACCTCACCAGCTTCTTTTTGAATCAATTTTAAAATTAATACGTTTCTTCAGCTCCGATTGCTTCTCGTTCGATTGCAAAATCGAGACGTTTATTTTAGAGATCGCAGTGCTTACGTCAAACGTTTCTTTAATCTTTTCCAAAGAATTGTTTGTACTTTAGTGTATTTTTGAATTTTCGGTCGTTTATTTTTTTGGCAGTATGTTTTATAATATGTTTCGTTCAAGTCGGCAAATTTTCCACCATTTGGAACATTAATTTTCTGACGGATGTTCTACAGACTCTTTTGTAAACATACGTATGTACGAAGCACACATACGTATTCATCAATCAATGTGGATGCACACACATAGGCATGCATGAAACCAAGCAGGCGTGTACTGTCATGTTCCTAACATTTTAGTGAAATTTTTGTGCGTATATTTTCTTAACTTTTGGACATTCTGTTAAAATAAAAGATTCTATGTTTCCCATTTTGTATATTTATAATATAATTTAACACCATTTTTAGTATTTTACTTTTTTGGTTATTGCCCTATATCAAGTTGAATAAATAAATTATAAAATATTTTCAGGAAATTAATATTTTTGATTGGCTATTTTAATTAAAAAAGCAAAGATTTAGAATTGTATTTACTAGTTACTAAACGTAATCGAATTTTTGCTTAGTATAAAAGAGAATAGTTTTAATAGCTATTTTCCATGTAACTTTATTTCATTATAGTATCTGTAAAAATTAGTTTAAATTCGAAAACATTAAAATGATTATCATTTTAAAAATTTGCAAAGAAAATATTTATTTCAATCTGATATTGTTTGCCATTCTAGTTTCTATAATGGCGTATTAACGATTACAACCTCGAAACATTTAATACTTGGGACATAGTATGTCACACACGCGCACTCGTGGCGAACACATTTGCTCAGCGCCTTTAAATGCTCGCCCATATGACTGTTCCTACGTCGAACGTGTGACGACCGTATGTGGCCTCTTTGTTATAGCAGACTTAAGCGCTTATCGTACTATGAATAGATGTACTGATTTTCTTTCAGCTGTCCACTGTGTACGGCTAATTTACACTTCGCTACGTAACTGTGTCGCTTACTAGAAATTTTTGGTAAATACGAAATATGTGTACGTGCGCGTTTTAATGTGTGAATATAAAAGAGATCGTGTATATGTGGAAAAAAAACTATAATTCAACAACAATAAAATTTTATTCGAAATCGAATGTTGTGAGATGTTAAGATAATATGTGCTTTGTCGTGATGTATCTGGAAATATTTTAGAATTGAAGAATTCAGGTATTTCTTTTGGTGATGTTTCTCTAGATATTTTTTGGATAATGTTATTTCTTTCATGATTATAGTTTATAACGTTGGTAGTGGTACAATAGACTTGCTTGTTATTTTCCTAGAAATGTTTAGAACTTTATTAGCGAATGGTATTTTATATATACTGCCTTAAATGTGTTGTGATAAAATGCATTAGATTTTGATATATTTCATTTCCTTTTATCTACAATCTTTGTTAATATTGTACGTTATCGGCCTTCAAAAGTTGGCAGCCTTGTTCTAACTCGTCGAGAGCAACCGTCATGGCACATCAGTGACGTGTCATGAGGAAATAGTGTAATGGAGTGTTCAAAGTATTTAAAGAAGGATAGCAACTGTTTACTATATATCTCATTCTTATTTCTTTGTTTATTGACGACATAGTCTTCATTTGTGCATAATTATTTTTTAAATTCTTGTTTTTATGACGTGTCAATCGATGTATGATACGAATGCCATTTTTCTTCAATTTTTATTTTATTTAATTATAACTACGTCATTAATTTTAACTGAATTTATAGAAAGGGTGTATAAATTATTATAAAAGTTTTTGATAATATTTAGAGATTTTAAAAACCTAATTAATAAAATTGTAAAGAAACTTATAATTTTTTCTTCATAATAGTAACATATAAGTAAGTACATAATTATAACGTATTTAAATCAGTATGCGTTATACTTGTGCTATAAAAAAAATTCAAAATTGCTATAACTGAATCTTTGAATTCTCAAACTTCCAACATCATGATCTCAGGATTTTATAGATTTTTTTGGTTATGGAATGCATTATTTTTATAGTGTATTCCATTTGTATGGAATTTTTATGTGCAACTTATAATAAGACCGTTATGGTTTAAACAAATTTTCCTATTATTACAAATAAAAAGAAAAAATTATGAAGGATATAAAAAAAAGTTACTTTTGGTTGTTGTTCATTTTTCAGTTATGTAGTTACAAAATTATTTGATTATAAGTATATATCATTTGTAACATATAATTGAAATATCGATAGATATTTACATCTGTATATCTAAATTTAAGTTTTTGTAGGTAAATTTGGATTGTTATTTTGGTAATACAATTAATAAAACCTTTATTTACTTGTCAGAAAATGAAGGTAATATAAATTTAAAAGGAAATAAGATCGAATACCGGTTTAATGCACTACAAAAATTTTCAATGTCGAAGCGTGTTTCAGGCGACGTCCTTCATCGTGCAACCTTAAAGTAATACTTCTTAAGTAACGATGAATGTGTATCTACATACATAGATATTCGACCATATTTAACTTCCGCTTTTACCGAGCGAGAAGCCTTATATTCATATTAATATTCAAAAATTACATTATTAAATGAAATTGTCTTAGTATCTAAAATAATTTAAAACAATATCGTATATTTCCGTTTTCTTTGTATTCTGTGCATATTGCTAAAAATTTACTATTGAAACTGTTTTCATCGCGTAAAGCACATTATTGACACGTGTATTTGTCATTAAAAAAGGTATTTTCAGTAAAAATAAGCAAAACACTATTGTATCAGTTATCATAAATACATAAAATTTTTACAGTTGTATTATATTATGATTGATATGGAGGTCCAAACACATATTCATATTCACAATCTTATAAATTTTTTAAAATTATTTAATTCGTAAAGTCACCAC